TGTATTTACTGGTTACTTGACAAATCTGTCTTTGCTTCTATTGTAAGACATTAATGTACTACATGAATGGAATGGAATTTGATTTAACTACTTAAGTTACCTGCTTTAGAATTTGTTAATCTGTTTTCTTAAGATCTATATAAACATCTTTCTTTATTTTATGTAGCTTACATGAGCATTTGGCAGATTTTTCAAAATGTCAGAAGAAATTGTAAAATAATTCTGAATAAGTTTTACATTTACTACTTATTTAGGTGAGTTGAGTTCAAATCTAGGTGACTGTTATGAACAAATACATCATTGTAACCTGTCCTTAATAATGCACATTAATCTCTCCCAAAGATGTTCCAGTAATACGTTTGATCCTATTCATTTCACTTTATCTCCTGCCTGATTCTGTTACTCCCAACTTTGCCTAACACACACATACATATATGAAAAAAGTCATTTTTATCCCTATGGATGCTATGTTTCTTCCTCAATCTTGGGTGTCCTACCAGACACTTGACAGTTTAAGGGCAGGGCTCTATGCAGTACCTTAACAGTTCGTAATATTGCACTCTATTCCTGGCATCTGTAGAAGTCACTGTCCCACCTATTACTGTTGGAACCACTTTGGTCTTTACTTTCCACATCCTCTCTAGTTCTTTCTTCAGACCTTGGTACTTCTCCAGTTTCTCACATTCCTCCTTCCCAATGTTTTTGGTACTGCTACATCCATCGTTACTGTCATCTTCTGGTCCTTGTCTTCTACATGATGTCTTGACCAATATCAACTTCTCTGTCTGGCTCTAGAAATTCTACAGAATCTTAGCCCTGTTATTCTCTGTGACCTTCTGTGGAATCTCCCGTCTGAATTTGAAAAAGTGTAGCCCGCATATTGTATAGATGTTTCTATGTACAGTGCCAGCCACTTCATTCTGCTGTTCAATGTTGTTCTGTCTTACATCCTGTCACTATATGTTGGACTATTCCTGAGGCTTCTCGGCATAGTCTACATCTCAAATACTTTCTAATGGGGTAGAGATCTGCTTCTATGGGTCTGTGGCTTAATGCGTTCTCTTATACTACTATAATCAGTGACTCAGTGCTGTTTTTTTGTTTTTTTTTAACTCCAACCCTTTCCAGCAGCTAGTAGAATTTCCCAATGTCTGCCACCTAGTCTGTATGTTGATGGCATATCCCATTTAGGGTCTTGATTTTTCTTGCCTGCTGCTGCCTAAGGCATTGTCTCAGCAGCTCATCTTGAGGTATCATCTATTCCTGGATGCTCTGGTTTTTTTGTGTCCTGGATGAACACTTTGACACACACTGCCTGATTTATTTCCAGGTGGTGTACAGTTCTTGAGTGTTGGTTTTGAGGAGGAAACTTCTGTATATTGTGAGGAGACTCTGGGTCTACACATTAGCAGATTTCATGTGCACTTTTGGCCAGCTATACCAGGAGGGTATTGGATGAATGGTAGGGCAAAAGTGTTGATGGCATGGTCCTTCTACCCATTAAACTGGCTCTTCAGGACCTGTCTTATCCTGTCTTATCTTTGATGGTACTTGGATGTTGCTGTTTTCCTTGCCTCCTTATTATGGATCCTATGTGACTTTGGGATACCAAGATACTTGTAACTGGTCTGTGTGTCTGCTATGTAGCTGCTTAGTTCCAATACATCATTAATTACCTTGTCTCCCTTGACCACCATCTTGCCATATTTCTTCAGTCCTAATGACATCCCAAGTGTCCTCGCTGTAGATCTCTGTCAGGTGGGCCAGCTCTAGCATACATCTTGATGTCATCCATTGGCCCTCTCTGAAGCTGGACTAGTCCTGCCTCAGGTTCAGGAGCCTCATTTGTCCAAATACATGCAGGATGTGGTGGCACGCGTGATCTCTCAGGGTATTTTGGATGGTATCCAGCAATTGGCCTCTAAATTACCCCTTGCCACTGCTATTGCTTCTACTACTCCCATTTCCCCTGTCAGTTCCAACAAGAGTCGTGCCACTCGACCTCAGGAGCCCCCAACTAGGGAGGCCTCCCTGGCCCCTACTGGGATCGGTAGGTATCTGACGGGGAGGAGGCGGAGCAAGACACTCCGGACCTCTCAGAGGATGAGAATTCTGCACCCGAGACGCCTGTCCCTTCAGGTCTCTTCAAGCCCTCCATGTTTAGGGCTATCCTTACCAAGGCTAGGGCGGCTGCGCCCCAGATAGGTCTACCGGCCCCAGAAGAGAAAGCCCCTTCAGTTCAGGGTACCAAGGAAACCGTTGGGCCCCAGGACCCAGGTGTGGGACTATTTAAGGAGGTTTTCCCCCCCTTTGGATCTGGTCCCACTCCTCAGCTGTTTTTGGACATCATACAACGCCAATGGACCCAACCGGGCTCCATGGGCAACCCTAGTGGAACAGATAAGAAACTCTATTCTATGGAGGGCCCACTGGAGGAGCTGCTAAAGCTTCCCCAGGTAGATGACCCCATTGTCTCCCTCACGTCTAATTCTGTTCTTCCAGCTGATTTGCTGGAGGGCTTAAAGGCAGAGGACAAGAGGGTGGAGTCTGTCTCCCAGAAGACCCACGTAGCCATGACATGGGCCATGAAGGCTTCTGCTTCTTCCTCTTATTTTGGTAGAGTGGCCCTGTTCTAGCTACGTAAGTTATTAGCCGGCCTCCCTGCAGGGGATACCAGGGCTAGACAGGACGTTAACAAATTAATAGCGGCTGTAGAATACTCTGCCGATGCCTCACTTGCCGCCACCAAGTTCTCCTCGAGAGCCCTTGCCTCCAACGTAACTTCACGCTGCCTGCTATGGCTTCGCCACTGGCAGACGGATGTGAAAGCCAAGTGGAAACTAGCTTCCGCTCCCTTTAAAGGGGGAAAATTGTTTGGGGAGGCCTTGGACCCCTTTCTAACGGAGTCCAAGGACAAGCGTTAGGTTCTGCACCCAGTCACAAAGAAGCCGGACTGTAAAGGTCAGCCCTTTCACCATAATTCCTTTCGGAGCTCAGAGCCTTCCACCTCGGGAGGGGGGAACAGTCGGCCCTACTCCCAGTCCCAGGATCATTCCCATACAAAGTATCTAGGAGCAATAATGTGGATTGTGATAAGAACAAAGCAAGATTTAAATATTGTGAAGAAAAAAGCAAAATTAGGAAAGTCTGAAAACTATGTTTGTTGAGAGAAGTATATGGACAGTAGGAATCAGGAATTGGATGAGATCAAGATTACCAATTTAGATTCGAAAGGACAGATGTGATTTGACTCATGCACAGACATGAATGTAGCATTTGTCAGAAACACTTTAAAGCAACTGTGACTTTTCCTGTAGTTAAAAAGTAGCTATGGCTGGGAACGACACATTTTTAAGGAATTTCCAACAGGGGCTATATGTTTGCTCACATGTGTTCTGAATCACATTTCTCCATTTGAAATGTAAGCTTTCAGATAAACTTTGAAGTGCTAGTAGGCAAATGCTATAAAAGATTGCCCTTGCTTCCTTTCCCCTTGTTTCAAAACAAAAAGTTTAATAGGATATTTTTGTAACACAAATATATACACTCTTTCATAGTTTCTTTTTTTGTTTGTTTATGAGAACTAAAGATAAGAGTACAATAATAAGATACTGTCTGCCTCCTAAATCTGTGGCAATAGATCTGAGAATGCTTATATTTCTATTCCTATGCGGCCATTTCAGTAGTGAGGTTTTAATTTCTAGTTTAAATGTAATACTGAATATTTAACTTTGAACTGCATGTGTTTCCTCCAGTAATATATCTGAAAATGTACCAGGTCTGTTACTCATATGCGCCATGTCTATAGTCATAAAGGTGCTATTTTAGGTTTGAAGTTGTTAGGGACTTCTAATGTGAAATTTGAAAGCTTTCTAAATCTACATTTTAAAAAGTTCTTAAGCACACAATCTAAAATATTCTTTTGTTTGATCAAGAGTTCAAAGTATTTCTACTTTCCAGTAACTACTGTACTTAACAATAAAGGAGTGAAAAAAGGATAGAGTTGAATTAGTGTCAATATCCTAGCCCAGCGATGGCAAACCTTTTTTGGCTCACGTGCCATAAGTGGGGGGAGCGCAGGGGGGGTCATGTGCGGGCATGCCGCACCCATAATGCAATGCATGACCCCCCCCCCAGTGTGCATGCATGCACTACAGGCGCTCCCCCCATTTTTGCATGCTTTTTTCGCCTTCCCAAGCTCTAGAGGCTTTATAGGAGCCTGGGGAGGGCGAAAACAGCCTCCCCCACCCGCATGGAAGCCCTCTGGAGGCTTCAGGGACCTTCAGGAGGCTTCCATGAAGCCTCCAGAGCAGTCAAAATGACCCTCTGAGCAAACCAGAAGTCACTTCTGGTTTGCTCAGAGGGTCGTTTTGAGCACTCCAAAGGCTTCAGGGATCTTCAGGAGGCTTCCCTGAAGCCTTTGGAGTGCTCAAAACGACCCTCTGAGCAAACCAGAAGTGACTTCTGGTTTGCTCAGAGGGT